CCCTTTACAGTTCTCGGTCCCTTTCACTGAAGCTTCAATCAGGGGGTCTCCTGTATTATACTCCTATGCGCCAGCATGGTCCGGATAATAGTCTTAGCATGCCACGGCTGGAAGCAGAGACTGTAGGATCGATCGTTTCTCCAACTGAAAGCTTCAAAAGCGTCTATACTTTTGACATGTTGGTTTGGATTGCCAATACCTTAAAACTTCAAAGACAAAATTCTGAGGAGGATCGTCACTCTTGTTTTGTCAGGAAAGATAAAAACGTGGGCCACCTAAATTGGTGATGCTGGAATTGGGCAAGAATTTAGATAGATCCTTCACTTTTCTCACATGAGTGGATAAAGGCTTCTTAATTTAACTTAATGGAGAGCGGCACACATCATATGGATTCACTTGCCTCTTCACTGGAACTAGGCGCAGATATTCAGATGCCAATGCCAAAAGATCGAGTCAAACATCAATTGTTAGGGACAGTGAGCTGATGCATCTTGATATGATCATTCGGCAAACCCTCCCTTCATTCTCAATGATTCTGCTGGCTACGGATGCTATTGCCATGTCTCTAGCACATGCGAACACATCTAAGGAGGCTCATATTCATGGAGCAATTGAACTCATTCATGATTAATTCCAAGGTGTAATGGACCAACTACCTCACTTCTTCGGCTACATGAGAGCTCTATGTAGAAGTGGCATTCTTCACTCTTCACAACTTCAATAGAGTCTGTGCCGCAGACGATCGGCCCAATACTGTCGAGCGTAGACTTATTTGAGGGAGGCTTTTCGCTTCAAGAGAGCAAACTTTCACTGCAATAAGTGACGAGGCCAGGGAGGCAGTAGTCCGGTGGCCACAATGTCCAGATCTGTCACTTTTAATCAACGATCTGACAACAATTTGTCAAATTGTGAACCTTCCGCTCCCAGTCCTGTCAGTGTACAATGCACAGGTAGGCAAAATACTTGGAATGTTTGCAGCCAACTTGATGGTACTAGACGAACCTTATTAACGATGCTTCTAATGAAAGATATCAGCTGCCATTTCTATCGACGCATCTGGTGATGAATCACTTGTACTATGAGACTGCTTGGGAAACCAAGTGCCAGCTCTAAAGGACACAATAATTACGTTGTTAGCCAATCAAGGCAAAGAGTCATTAGGTCCCAATCCCATCATCCCCGGGTTTTAATCTCCAGTTTTCCTCATCCCCAAGAAAGACACAGTCAAACTGCGCCTGATCAACTTGAAGAAGTTCAACGCAGATTAACTGCTCATTCTGGACCTTTAAGGCGAGTATCTTCACGTGCCCATCTATCTGGATCATTCAAGGTGTCTTCACAGGTGATACGGGGGCACGGGTGGCCCAGTCGTCTACGGCGCCGCGATTCGCTGTGCAGAGTTGCGTCCCCTGGACACGCCAGAAACCTATAATTGTGGGTTCGAATCCCGGTTCACCCCGATTATGTTTCTAGGTTTGTCAGCACCATACCCGTGCTCGTGGGTTTCACCGAAGTGGTAAACGTCTGAGACCTGCATCACTTCGGGCTTTCCTCCCACATTAAGCTGACACGCCGTGATATAACTTGAATACTGTTAAAAGCGGCGTTAAACCCAACTCACTCACTCACTCACAGGTGATACGCTATCACTGGGGGGTGCTCCCGTTTGGCATTTCCATGTCCCCATGGTTGTTCAGTTGCATCATGAAACCCATCACTCACTGTTTTCGCTGCCAGTGGAATGTGTTTGAGGCCTACACAGACGAATGCATTCAGGCTCATGCCTACCCTTGGGTCCTAGAGAATCAGCTGCAATTTGCCAAGGGCTTGTCAATGCCAAGAAATCAGAGATGGTTCCCACACAGCAGCTCCAGTTCATTTGAGCATTGTTCGATACCCAAGCAGCCAAGCTGTTCATCCCACATGACAGATGGGTAAAGATACAGCAACAAGTACCATTGCGTCTCAAACAGTCTCTGACTCTTCGTCGGTGGCTTTGAGACATTTGTCATCTGAGGACTACAAACCCTTGCCATATTTAACTCAAGTCAGTCTTTTTATAGTGCCTTAGCCCCCAAGATCTACCTTCAAGCTTTCGAGGATCGGAGAAGGTCCCTCAAACGTGTCTTCATCCCCTTGTAACCAGCTTTGACCATGGAGGTATCCAGGACTAAGGGGTCCTTTTGGTTACACTCGGTCATCCTGCAAGCTTACACCTATTTAGGATTACTGCCTCCTGTGGCATTGAACCTGCATGAGACAAGGGCAGTGGTGTCAACCATGGTACTTCATAGCAACTGCACATTAACTGCTATTATGGAAGAGACCTCTCGGTTTTAGACATGAAGGGTCTGCACCAGTTTAGACCTCTGTACTGGCTCAACAACTGACTGCAGCCCGTCAGCACAGATGAAGAAAGCATCCTCATACATACAAGACCATCCAGCTGGGTTGTGTTGTCGGATTGTTTACATAAAGAAATATATTTTTGGGCCTGTTAAATTTGTTTCTTTGGTTCCATAACTTATTCAGGAACCCAGACACTTGAACATCCTGTGGAGGGATGATATTCGTCTGTGGAGACTTCTAGTCTACAACATTAAAGTCCCCCCCCCCCCCGACACGGACATTTTTGACGGTGACCGGAACCCTCCACTCACTATCCTCTGTTCTTAATGTATTGTTAGCCTGAGTGGTTGATTTGAAAACCCTTAGGGATGTTGTCGATCATTCCTTTTCTCATTCATGCTTGGTTGGTTGAACAAACCGTTAAACTGTTCTGCTGCTATGATGTATGCGGGGGGCAGATTGAAGAACGTCACTGCTGGACCAATGATGAACCAAGGACTGGTTGCTTTGTCTGACATCTACGGAATGTTATAAGTCATGGCCGAACGGGTTCGTCCTTTTTCCATGCAATGCAATCATTTTTTAGAATGCTGTCCTATGCAAAGACATGAAACACATGAGTTACTTGACCTCATGATAGTTCATCCTTGTAGCAAAAAGGTTTTTTTAGAAGCTACCCAACACGAGTTGTCGTCAGAACAAGCCTAAATAACGTAGTGATCTTTGATTGGATCAGAATTCTAGGACCAGCTTACTCGTGTATGTCTAATGGTTGAGGCGAGTTCAAGCATGGGTATCTGCGCCCCACCCTCCAACCATGGGATAAATGCAAAGTGTGAGAAAGAATAAGTTTCAATATTTGTAAATTGTACATTAAATTGTACTGTTACATACTTTTTCTATCTCAAACAAAAAATGTGGCCAACCATCCCCACATCACAGTTCAGAAAAGCCTGGAATCGCTCTACGAAAAAGAATGAATTGGCAGGGCAGGTCACATGCGCAGCCAGCATGAGATTCATGCATTACAAGGGCAGGTGGTGATAGTGGTGACCATAGTTACGTTTTTGGATGTGTTCAGGTGAGGCATTTTTAGCAGCTGGAGACATGTTGGAGGATCGTTTCCACTCTAGGATTGGCTGAGAACAGACAAATACAGTGTGATATAGGATAAGTATATAAATATATACAATTTATTGTAAACTTTAAACCATGCTTTGTTCTTCATTGTTCTTTGCGATTTATCGCGTAGCTATTTATATTTCATGATAAAACATTGCTCTATCATGACGTCATTTCTGGAGATGTGCTCACAACTTGATGACGTCATATATTGGACAACATTATTTTTGAGAGGGAAGTGTCTAGTTAATTGTTCCACATAGATGTAGCTATGCTACACAGATAAAAGCTGTGGCCGAACCATCACATCCAAAAGTGGGAGAGATTAGACAATTAGCAGATACACATACTGTGTTTTCAATGTAGAGCTAATTTACCTGTAGATTTAACCCCGCTAAATTGAATTTGGAACCGAACGCGCAGCGTGAGGTTTCAAATGTTAAATTTAGCGCGGTTAAATCTACAGGTAACCTAGCTCTTCATTGAAAACACAGTATGTTTATCTCCATTCTACCATGACTAAATAAAATGCGAACTCTTTGGTGTTAGCAAATATACTGAGTGAAGTGATTGTTACGGAATCACCGAACAAATTATGGTGCCATATATACTCAAGCAGTTTGTTTACACAGTAATACTTCACTCTAACATATGACAGGCATTGAAAGCATATAAGCACGGCAGCTTGGTAAGCTGACATGAGGTGGGCATCCCTAAAGAAAACAAAGCAAGCTTTGCAAGGCTTTTGCTCTATATCGCACGTCACCATTATGACGTCATATCGCTCATTGTGACGCGAAAGAAATGACGTCACAGTTGTATATAGAAAAGCGCCAAAATTCCAAGCTCTCTGTGTCTCCAAAACGTAAAATCATTCCCTGTGTAGATTTCCATCGTGTTTTCTGCACGAAATGTATTGCCACACATCCTTTGAATATTGTAGTAACCGCGTCTGTGCATTTTGTAACCTGTAATTACAGATATAATTATTTAAATATGCCTACCGACACTGACTGAAAATAGTACTATTCTATGAATATTAGCTTCCGCGGTGATGCGGCCGTCAAACCAACTGTTTCAATCAGAGGGGGTTTATTGTGATTTAATAGCCTCTGATTGACCAATCAGAATCGAGTAAATTCCAAATTCATGGTAGAATTGGTATTAGGAGAAAAGGAACAGATAATCGACGTGAGGATTGTGAAAATATGCGGGAAATACTAAACTCAACCCACCTGTTTGTTCGTAAAATGGACATTTCCAGGTCGGATTCTAGCATCAATATCAGTAAGAAAAGAATAGTTCTGAATGTCAGTTTACAAGAATTTGACAAAAGATCTAGTTTGGCACATCTCAGCTCTTATCACTGAATAAAGGTGTCTTCTGTACCTGTGGTGCTCTTGTTCACTCTGTCCCTGACTGAAGCATAATGTGTCATGTGTGTTAAGCAAAATGAATGCTGTGTATTAGAATGTTTGGCATCTATTTTGTCAGCTTATCAACATATTTGATAACATTTTCTGTTTTAGCCATCCTGACCAAGAAGGACACAAACAAGCCCTCTAACAGACAAATGAAAGTAAGCATAAAAGCCATAGTTTATAATAAGATTGCATGTGTTTTATCTCTACCATGAAAAATGGCTGCCTCCATGGTCTAAGGGACAGAGCATCTGCCTGAATAGCAGACGGTCGCTGGTTCGACAGCCCCTACCACAACATACCAAAGTATGTTAGAATATGGTGTTTGTTCTTACACTGTCTGGCGCTTTGCATTAAGGGGATAAAACAAGGACTGGTCGACTTGAATTGGTGTGTCCATGTTATACTGTGGCATGGTATCTCAATGAGCTAGCACTTTAAAACCGGTGTACCAGGCCAGTCCTTCACCACCCCTGTCCAGATCTTCCTCGCTCAAATTTTAAACTTACATTGTGACCGGAAGTCATGGTCTGACAGATGACCAATCATCACACGGGGGTGCCATCACCATCTCATATTGTCTGCCATTGTGGGAGATTAATAAATTCAGATAAGCATGTGAAAATTGGGCATTAAACGTGTATTGATTCGGTGGATCGTACACCTATCCTCAAACCAGATCAAGACCAAAGAGAGGGAGATCAGTCTGATATTTCATCAGCCATAGTCTGTTGAGATGAGCCTCCTTTACTTGTTTGTGAACCTGGACACTCAATGCCTATTTTAATAGATAAGATGTTGACAAAGTAGAGGTACCACCATTGCTTGGATATGGGTGGTGCCGTGGTCCCATTTCTTACACTTCCCAGACCTAAAACTGGGAAGTGAGGACAGACAGACTTTGTTAATAGCAAGAATAAGGACAAGATGAGTATGGACATCTTGCATGACCATACCAGTTACTTGGAATAGATTATGTGATATGGACTCCAACAATTGTCATGCCATGGACATTTTTAATTTGTTAACTGGTTTGAAATCCAGCAGTCTGTAAACTATCCAGTGTACGTATAACTAGATGTCATAACTCGCCTATTACTCTGGTATATTATGGCAATGATGTATGCAGATAGGATATTCCCAAGAATTATCACCCAACTCCCCTGTATTCTTCATCTAGGATGGCTGATTTTGGAAAGAAATGAGGTTTTCCACCTTCCACTTGCACAGTTGCTTTGGAAGGCAAGATACTATTACTTGCACAACCAACAATTATGGATACCGGGGGTAGTTGACAGTAAAGAAGATATCTTTTTAAAAAATCTGAAGATTTTTATCATGTGATGACAGCTAAAATATAGACAATGATGTAATACTAAATAGAGGTATTATTACTATTGTTTGATTTCTAATACCTGATCTATCATTTTGACAGGTAATATCATGTCCATCTGAACACACAAAAGTAAACAGGATTGTTCAATACAAGTTCAATTTCCACAGAGAAATATCATATTCCAGTTAGCCAACAGAAAAGTAGGGCATGGTGGCCCACCACCAGAAACCCCCCAAAATGGGTCAATGTAAAAACACTGGGGGTCTGTTGCAAAAGGGGATCCATAAATCTGCAGGAAGAAATTGTGAACTGTGAACAACATATCAAAGAACAAGAGCCATCCACTGCAGTCTTGGCTGTACAATAGTAACACTGTATGACTAGCAACTAATTATTACAGTAACATGACGTTTGTTTGTTGATTTTTCGGTATGTGGGTTGAGATCTTGACTCTGTTAGCTTTGTGTAATCCAATCATAATGTTTACAAATGGTATGAGCCAATCAAACAGCCTATGTATATACATATATCTAACCTTTACCCTTGAGTGGATTGTGATCATGGTAAAAAATTGTAAACGTGCATGCAGGAAGCCGAGTTTGCACATGATGTACGTCAAGATGTGTATGAAGAGAGGCAGAACCAACTGAGATGGCAAATTCGACTCGGCGAGGTTCAGATCTCCAACAAGAAGCGGACATATGTTTTAGAAGACAGGATGCATGCCTGGGAAGACTATAGGGTCTGTACCTTTAAAATATGTTTTAATTATGCACATTTAATAGTTTTAAAGATTTTGTTACCCTTATATGACTTTAAAAAGAGTTTTATTGTCAAATATTTTTTCAATTTGAAGCTTACATGATATACTTTTTTTCCTTTGGGATGAGAGGTAGGTCACATGACCGCGAAATTGACGTTCAAAAGTGTATGAAGGACACAATTTGACGTTCATACGTTTTTCACAAGACCGTGTTCTTGATATGATGTAAACACTGAGGGACTTCTTCAACATTCTTGGGGGAACCCCTGGGAATTCCCCAGCACGAATAAATACAGAACCGTTATCTCGATCCATGTCTAGAATACAGTGACAGTCTACAGCAATATACGAATGTACCTTAGTATGTATTTGACACATCTCTACAATCACCTTTCAGTGATCGGGCAATTGATCACTGATGACTAACACTTGTAATATCCACAGGTTTATTAAGAACTTCAGAAATCTCTCCCGTCACATTTATCGTGGAGTGTGAGGGCCAAAAATTGTATGAATGTCGTTGCATACAATGTTTGGCCCTCACTCTTATGAAGGTTCATACTCCAATGAACTCACACAAAGTGAAAGTCAATTCTTAATGAAACATTTTTTTCAATCTTTTCATTATTCTCTCGCCATGTATAAGTAGATATTGATTATTATATTGAATAATTCACCAAGTGAGCAAATGACATGGTGACCCAATGGGGACCCAGGTTAAAGCGTATGTTCCCAGCACTCTTTTGCTTGTTGCAAAAGGTGACTTAATTGGATCAGGTGGTAACTTGATTGTCATCATACCTGAAGAGCCTCGGACACGTAAAGGGGGCACGGGAGGCCCAGTTGTCTAAGGTGCCGCGATTCGCTGTGCAGAGTTGTGTCCCTTCGGCACACCAGAAACTTATGATTGTTGGTTTGAATCCCAGTTTGCCCCGATAATGTTTCTAGGTTTGTCAGCACCATACCCACGCTCATTTGTTTCACCAAAGTGGTAAACGTCTGAGACCTGCATCACTTCGGGCTTTCCCCCCACATTAAGCTGACACGCCGCGATATAACTGGAATACTGTTAAAAGCGCTGTTACACCCAACTCACTCACTCAAAGATTCATCCTCTATTTATATCCTGTGTATAACATCACCATTTTAGCATGAAGTACTATGTTTTTCTTAACTGTAGCTTTGTTTAGGTAGTAATTGTTGACATTTTCAACTGTTGACTACTTATCCAGTTGAGCAACAGTACCAACGGTGCTAATTTAATTGTTACTTTTATGAGAGTTTATTACACTGAAAAATCAATACAATCTGTTTCTCCCGATATGACCCAATATTTGAATATTCTACAGAGAGTTTTTCCCAAACTGGTAAGTAAAAATGTTACAGATGTTATGTTTTCTTGTTTTTTAGGGTGGATGTTTCCCCAAATATTGCATGCCATCATATCAGAAATGTGATGTTACCAAGTGTAAAGGTTGAGAAATATTAATTTCACATTACGCAAACATGAAATGCTTGGAAGAATGACTCTGCCTGGCAAAAATACTTTTTATATCTGACTGTCTATGGAAATGCAACATATTTGGTGCCTTCCTCAATTATAACAGATATACTTTGCAAAAAGTCTTGGTTTTTTTTGCAAGGTTTACAGTGTGGTTCTTAGAAAATAAACTGCATAAATATTCCATTCATTTGAAATCTGTTAGTCATGATATTTCCTCAAGAAATTCTTATTTTTTTTTCAGTTTCTTTGGTGACTGACTCAGTGTTATCATACTGTCATGTTTGCCCTTGAAATGTTAAATTCGTTGTCATATGTTTTGTGATTTGTTGATTTGAGTGGAAGATAGTTACAGCCAAATCTTGCACTTCAAGTCTTTTTTTCCTGTTCATTACAGTGTTTGTTTAAGCATACATCTTGTTATTAAGCAGCCCCATGTAAATGGGGATGTTAAAAAGTTTTGCCAGAATTTGATCGCAAATCGTTAATTTGATGTTTTGAACTGGAAATAATTCATCATAGACAGAAATTGAGGGTCAAGGTAATTAAACTGTAAGTGTATTAGGGTTGGTCAAAAAGACAGACAAAACCAACAAATGTAAAAGTGTTTTTAATTTTATTTTTCAAAATAATCTCCTTACTTTTTAATACACTATCGATATTGAAGCTTTCAGTTCCAGTCTGGAAGAGGTTTTCTGAAGCCGTCCTGAAAAACTCATTCACGGCAGCTTTGAGGTCATCGTTGTTGTCATAGCATTTTCCACGAAGGTGTTCTTTCAGTTTAGGAATCAGGTGAAGATCACTTGGTGCCAGGTCTGGCGAGTATGGAGTGTGAGGAGGCTCTTCGAACCCACATTGTCGCACAGCAGCCTTGCAAGTCTCTGCAAGTAGAACTCCAGCATTCATCATTCCTCGCTGCTTTTCTTTGATAGAATCTCTCAGGCGATGAAGCAAATCAGCCTTTGGCTGTGACAAAATTCTGGACAATCATGAGTGCAGACATATATATTATATCATAGGGCCTCTTGCTTATTCCTGCTGACATTTATTTCACTCATTGTGTTGCCTTTTAGAGAGCAGTTAGTGCATCAAAGTTACTAGGTAGTCTCTGTTGCTGAAAATGGACAAAATTGGCAATCATGCTGTCATCAAGTATATCCAACAGAAATGGCCAACACCAACTAACATCCATGCAGACATGGTGCAGGGATAATTCTAGGGTGCTTTTAGCCCCTAAATTTGAAAAAAAGGCCCACATTTTTCAATACAATGGGGCATTTTAACATTGTGCTGTATGGGCTTACCTGTGGAATAGTTGAAATTTTCACATAAAGGTCCCATGTCAGAAAATTCCTGGAGTGAACCCTGATGGTGTCAAATTTAGGGGAGGATGCTCCTTCCTACACTGCTGTTAAGAGGTGGGCAGCTGAGTTCAAGAGGGAAAGAGAGAGTCTCGAAGATTGGCCAAGATCAGGCAGACCTTCAGCTGCCACCACAAAGGAAACTGTTGATAAAATACATGATAGGGTTGAGGATGATCGAGGACCCACCACTCATTCCACATGTCACATTCAGTGGTCATCTCTCATGAGAGGTTTGAGAACTTTCTCAGGAATAAACTGGACATGACAAAGATTTCAGCACTCACGGATCCAAGGCTTCTGACTCAGAATGCTCCGGGTTCATCATGTCTTGGTGAGTCTTTGGTTCACCACTATCAGCCAGAGACTAAACAACAGTCAAAGCAGTGGAAATATCTAATTTCTCTTCTGAAGAAGAAGAAGGCAAAGTCTGACCCATAAGCTAGCAAGATGATGCCTTGGATTAGGATTCCAAAGTTATCCTACTGGTGGACTACCTCCCAAATGGTCAGACCATCAATGGCCAAATTTATGCAAATATTCTGATGCAACAGTGTGAGAATATCAAGGCTACACATCTTGGAAATTGAACTCGCACTATAAACATCATTTCCTTACAAATCACTGAACCAGTGAAATTAAAACTTCACAGGTGTGTTCCCACTAGTGATGGCACATGATTTTTTTCAAAAGGTTTTGATATGATATTCAATATGGCATTATGTTTTCAAATGCCTGAGGTTTAACTGTTATAAATTGCCATCAAGTAACCATCAATTCTTTGATAGGTATTTAGAAGTTGGAAAAACATGATCTCAAGATTCTTTTATGGATGACAATTTCTTTATTGTTTGTAACGTTTCATGTCTTCTTCTTGCTCCTTCATCAGGTGAATACTGACTCACTGAGTATGCATATTGTGTTATATATTTACATGTTGATATGTTCACCCATATATTGTGAATCACACTATCAACTACTGGTTTGTTTCTTGTAAAGCTAAAAACAACATGTGTTTATAAACTCTAAACAGACATAACTAAAGGGGGCCAATTTGTTTAAAGAACCATTACCAAATCAGTAGATATTCATCCTGATAATCACTTATGCCTGTGCATGGCTCACTGTCCTGATCTTTGTTTGCTCTCTGTGTGGTGATTGTACAATTGCACTCAAAGATGGTCAATTAATTTCAGTACAACAAGCGTGGTGACTGTGTGCCAGAGAGTGAGTACAAGAGGACCTCCACAAAGTGTACTTTCAAGAGAACACTGAGAGATGCAGCAGAGGTAAGTGGATTCAAACTACCAGATATTCCTCACTAGCAAAGTGCTCAGCCCAAAACAGTATCATTACAAAGGTAGTAATTTCAGCATTCCACTGCTACATTTTGAAAACTGTCTGATAATTATTAAAAAAAAATGTTATGCGAAACTAAGTTCTGACAACATGCTAGAAACAGATGTAAGAGACTACCTGACTGATATAAATCCTGTACCCCTGGAGAATATTAAGGGGTATATTATTGTCCCCCCAGCATATAATGCAGGGGGATATAGTTGACGCCTCATCTGTCAAGCCACCCACGCAACATGGTGTCTTTGTTCTCTGTGACTGCATCAAATGCTGATAGAGCCAGCGCGCATGTATTGTTTTAGCAGAAGTACTCTACTCAGCGCTAATAAGCGGTGCTATTTGGTGTGTGATTGGATTAATGTAAGGTTGGATTAAGGTGAAGATTCTCCTGTAAACCTGACAGAGGACATTTTCTTTAGATATAAATCGACTGATGCTTGAGAGGAGGGGGGTGTCACATTCATATTTAGTCGCATTTTTGGCTGGGGGCAAGTGGTCACATTTTGTTTGGAGACGCATTCATTTCACGATTTACAGTATTTATCAACAAATATTGGCAGATATGTCAAACAGATCCTGAGGTGTTGCCTTTTGCTATTTACAGATATTTGGCATTTATATTTTTCTCAACTTCGCTGGAAACAATTTGTACATAAATTCATAAAGGGTTGATTTCGTTTCCAGAGCACAACTCAAAAACTGATCAATATCTTTCAACAAGACTTGCCTGATATATCAAACAGATCCTGAAGTGGTGCCTGTTGATATTTGCAGATTTTTTTTCGTTTTTATATTTCTCGATTTCCATGGAAACAATTTGGTCTCAAAAGGAGGAAATGGATTTCGTTTCTGGAGCAAAACTTAAAAACTGTGAAAGAGTTTTCATGCAAACCTGGTACATATATTTACCAAGGACTGAAGAGGTGCATTTTGCTGGTTAGGAATGTTTTTAAATTTAATTTTTCCCTGTGTGCATGGAAAAAGTTAGACTTAGCTGAAACAGAGGTAGGTGTTGTTTCTGGAGCAGAACTAAAAAACTCATTTGTGTTGAGACTAAAAAAGCGGGGTGTTTCCCAATGACGTCACGGAGATTTCCAAGCTGCTGACAACAACAACAACATAGATAAGTGACACGTAATTCATGATCACATTGTCAGGTCACATTGTTTAATATGCACATATCTGAGTGAAATTCTGTACAATCCTACATATGTCCTACATGTAGACGTGTTCTTATGATAAATGATGTCATGACTACACGAACACAAATAGCATTCGTGTGCCATGCAATAGAATTTTTCAAAACCAATAAATGTCATAATCAATAGGTGTAGTGTTACCACACTATAGCTATTAGAATTGAAATAATGTGCCAAAAAGATACTTTTGTGCCAAAAAGATACACTATTTTCCCTTCAAATGGTACTCTCATGAGCCCGCAGAACTTTATGATATAAACACATCGCCTACAAAGTCAAGGACGAAAGTAAGGGACATTATTCTAAATGACAATGACAAGACCTTTGATCGAACAGCATTTGCGTTCAGCATTTAACATGCGTGTTCAAGTCTGATGTTAAGTGATGTATACTATATATGTTTGTGTTTATGTCAAAAGTCAAGTTTTTATTAGTGTAAACACCAACATTATACATGGAAACACTCAAAACAAAAATTGTTCAGGAAGCCAGCGCACCCACAAGCAAGTTTTAGACAATCTAAGTTTGTTAAGTTTGTTTTGTTATTTATGTATCCAATATATTTCACGAATTAACCAAGGACTTAAGTACAATATCAAGCTATTAGTATTTAGATGATGAAATTATTTTTTATCTATCTAGATCCATAATTCTTTTCAAAATTTAAAAGTGACACTAATTTTCATTCGCAAAGAGAGATAATTTAGGAATTGTCAAGTCATGTTGTCACAATTTAAAGGGAATATGCATATAATGTAGTCATTTTCTATCCTTTTAAATTAAGTAGAGCTAATAAACTGATTTGTCTGATTTAATTTAAATCTGGCTTAGAAGAGAAAAACTTTGTAATATGTCAAATCTATTCCAGAACGTAGTTCAATGATGTTTGACTTGTCTGACAGAAATGCTGAGGATCATTTACTAGTATTTGTCCGTTGACCCTATACGTTACAACGGTTTTATTGTCTGAATGGTCTCAAGTATATCTATATTTTTTTAAACATAAAACGGGAACATGTAGGCTTAAATATTAAAAAGACCAAAATATTTTAAAACCGGTTTATTGAATGCAAAGATTATTGTGTTGAAAATGTGTACTTTATATTGATCAGTAAATTTCATTCAATAAACTTTTTTTCTGCGAACATATAATAGAAAGTGAATTTTGGAAAATGTGCAAACTATGCTACATTTTGATGAGGACCCGAACTAGCATGGGAACGAAAATCTGTGCTTAACTTCTGCTGTAAAAAAATTCAGTAAATTGTTATATTTAATGGAATACATCTATATGCCGTTAATCACCTGTTTTTAAAGAATGCAATTGTTTAACAGACAGTTTTTAATCACTTTTTGTCAAATATTTGTCTTTCAATAGGATATGGATAACACAGGTATTGAATTTAAAACGAAACAAATTATTACAATTACTTTGCAAGAAAAATATTAAACACTGTATACAAATATTTGATCACATGTATTTCCTTGTTAAGTCAATAAATACTACACTGTACAGTTAAAATTCAATTATGAAAACCACCCGTCCCACACGATTTTAGACGTAAAAACTTATGCGAAACCTTTATGTTTTTTTACATATGTAGATTGATATAATTTAATAAAATGCAAAAATAAAGACTAAAGCATTGACACAAATGCGATCCAGAAAATATAACAGCAGAACTCTGCGCTATATGAAAACTGTAATATTGAGCAAGATGTCCCGTGCGAATACAAAGGGAAACCACTCTCAACTAGAATATGAACTAAGATTAGCTCCCCCTGAGTTATCAATAAGGTCACGGTCATTACTATAGCCTGCGGACACCTTCCATTTTTATCCTTCCCAAATTATCGAAAAGGTACGTTGTTTCATATTTCTTCAGCATGGACTTGGATAGAAATATATTTTAAGCTATGGACTCCATAGTTTTGTGGATCGCTGTCGCGATTAAGAACATTTCTGACGTGGAATCATTGATACGTTCTTAGGGTTTTTGAAGTGTCAATTTGAATCACACAGTTTAACAAATGAAATGTCAATGTTTGAACGTAAAGCAGACTAATTGTTTGGCAAAATATCTATAGCAAAGTATGCCGCCATCTTGGATGAAGATAAAATAAACTTACGACAGGTATGGGGCTATCTTAGATTTACGACAAACTTAAGATATCAGGTCAACGATAGTTTCGAAAATAGGCTACGATAGCCTACGATTTCCTTACGATAACTTTACGATAATTTAGGGCTATGATCGTTTCGAAAATCTAGGCCCAGGTTGTTAACTGGTGCCTTTTGCTTTTTAGCAATTTTATAAGAAATTATGGTTTTTCCATTTCCATGGCAACAAGTTTGACTTTGACTCTGTTCATATTGGTGTGTACCTGATATAAAAATAGAAAGTTCCGACTCCCAATTCCATGGTATTGTTTTGATAGTTCAATAACTTCTCTTGTATATGGACTGACAGATTAAATATTAATTCTCTCATCAAGTTTGACTTAATAGTAACAGTCAGTTGATTTATTCTTTCAAATTTATTTCTTCACTGAACTCAAGGTATCCAATGGCAATGAACTAAAATTGGGGTATAAGCAGCCAAACTCCCTTTCCGAATTGCACCAGACATGTCATTTCCTGATGACTCCTTGTTTTAATTGCCTTTACTTTAATTCTCTTGCCTTCTCTGAATGCAATTCTTGTTTCGTTTAGGACTGATTTCATCTCTTTCGTTACCCCTGGTTTGTCGATGTTAACAGGCACAATAATATCCACACAGACCTTTAAATAATTCAATGATCATTTCCCACAATGCACATTTCTTCAAATGTAGAAACACCCATAAATATGGAAACACCTATCAACTTATCCTGGGATAAAGCAGAATTCAACACAAGCTATGAGATCATATGGGTAAAAATAAACTCAAGGAAAGATTAAAATGCTTCTTGGATTCTTCTACATATCCCATCATGGTGTGAAAGACATTACAGAAATGCAGACTTCATTAAAATGGATAATGGCCCCCAAGATAAAATCCATTCTATTTACAGGCAACTTTAAGTCAAGGTATAAATTGGAACTCTTCTTCGCTTCACGTGGATCTAATGACTGATTTACAGCAAGCGATGTTGGAGACTGTAGGTGACACAAACCTTTCACAGATTCATGACGTCTCCACCAGAGAAGGGAATATTCCAGGTCTTGTCCTCACGACTCTATCCCATCATTAGGGAAATCAACATGCATCAGACAATGACATGGTGGTGACTGACTTTTCACATCACCGCAGATCACAACACACTCCAAAGAGCAATTTGACTTCTCGAAGAGAGACTGGACCAGCATTGAGGAACATATGACAGTACTTTTTAATGATAATATTATGCTTGGTGGAGATTCATCCACAAGCACTGAGATGTTATGGACCCAATTTAGAACAAGACTAATGTCATCAATAGACAAACATATTCCATCTAAGATGCTGAGACATTAGAACTCTCAACCATAGTTCAGCAGTTCCATCAAGAGACTTCTTTGTCGTCAAGCAAGACTATATGGACAAGCAAAGAAAACTAATACCTGGCCAGGTTATAGATTCCTCCAGAAACTTATGTAAGTGTCACATAAGAAGAGCTGAGTGGTCTTTTATAAAACAAAACCATCGTAGAAGTCCTCGAGGAAAATACTAGTGACCCAATTTGAAAATATGTAAAATCCAAGAAGCAAGATAATATTGGTGTAGCACCATTGAAGAAAAGTGTTACATTACTTAATGATGGTGAAGATAAAGTAAATATTCTGATTAAGTAGTTCAGTTCCATGTTTACCCCGTACAACTGCACCAGTTTCCCTTAGATGACTAAGCAAGTCAAGGACACTATACCTAGCTTATTTATTAGTACAGCAGAAGTGTTGAAGATGCTAAAGGACCTGAATGCCTCCAAGGAAATGGGACCTTACAGTTTCCTACAAGAATACTGAAGGAATGTGCAGGTGAATTAGCCCCAGAATACAACCCTGCTTGACAACCCTATCACTCAGCATCACCAAGTTTTTCTGCGTTGAATATATCTTGGTAGACACCTTCCCTGATCAATGCTGATGTTTTCGTATTCCTAAATGTCTTCAAAGTCGAAGAAGCAGCAACGCCTGCCCATGATTGTGCATAGCTCAGCTCTACCAAGAAATATTCAACGCAGAAAGACTTGTTGATGCAGAGTGATAGGGTTGTCAAGCAGAGTTGTATCCCACCCAGGCTGAGGAAGGATACACACATGTAGCTTGGGGTTGGCAAGCAATTCTACACCAGTTCCCACCCGGCCCTCCCTCATCACCATCAACTTAATTAAGTAGCCGAAGTCTTACATTATCAGAGCCCATGCAAGCCTCAATCCCAGAGTCTGTAGCTTAATCCGTTTTGAATCTATTTTTGAGTCAATCTACAACAACAGACTGCATCTTTGGACAATTGACTTACCAATCTGTCTGGCCACACCCTTGCTCACATCTCTATAGTAGCTGAGGGGGCAGGAAAATTTATCAACATGGAGGCAGCTATATAAGACAGATCAGAAACATGACAATTATCCTCGTTTATCCGTGTGTAACGATACCTCTCACACACGATACCTCTCGCTCAGTGTTCACATGCGAGACAATCTACTGTTTGTAGCTAGAATATGTGTTGCTGATGTCAAGAAATATCTGCCAGGGGCTACTGTTACACATGAGGATTGCAATCTAGAAGAGGCCGGCTGTTTCTTTACATATGGCACGGGAAAATCTGGGACTGTTTCATTCAGACAGGAATGAGTCCAGACTGGCATAGAGTGCATAGATCGCACGGCGTGAATATTCAGTACTCTGGCCTTGGCCTTCTTGTATGACCAGAGTAATTCGTCATGCAAATTACAATCTCCTATGCGCCAAATCGGATGATAAATTGCTGCTGCTGTCGATTAAATGGTCAACTTATATGACACATGGGTCCTCCTTTTCTCAATTACCTTCCATCAATGACGATTTTTATTTTCTCGTCAGGTCACCTTTGACTAGAATGAGTGTCCCTATGACTACATTCAAGGACTTGGAATTGGTAAATAGTCTAATGATGGATATAGGTGCTTATTGTAACTTGTTTGCTCTAGGGGTCTGTCATGTCTTCTTCCCTCCAAGACTCATACATGGGTCTCTCAGAGGAAACACCACTGTCAATGACACATGATCAAGTTGGCTTTACTCACCCATAAGAAACATGTTATGAATGCAGGAAGATCTCTCATCTGCACAAGTTTTGATGTCCAGCCACCTTCAACTTAAGCAGTGATGCCACCTGATGGCTCAAGTCAGATCTGAGCCCTTCTAGAAGTCAGTGTTATCCCAACCCGTCATGTACCAACAGTCAATTGCACCAATTGATGAAGTTAGGCCAAGTACATTTCCAAACATCAACTGTAGCAGTGTCAGCATACAAGCACCCTGGTCACACACCTTTTCATTCTTGGTAGCACCGACATGTTGCTTGGAGACCAGATTCTTTTCGTGCCCAACCCAGATTGAGACGTCCTCTTCCCTCAGAAAACCATAATTTGACCAGCAAGGATTGCTGTTGAGAGCAAAGCGGGCCTAGCCCAAGAGGCAGGAGAGGGCGCTGATTCTGACATGATTATCGTCCACCTGATTTCAACATGACACCAACTGTGGGAACTTTATGGGGACTTCTACGAGCCTACATCAACAAATGGCAGCTCATAACATCAACCAGTGGTTACTCAAGGTTACTTGTACAGGATACAAGCTGAACTTTCACCAGCATCCAGCACTTGTATCCAATTCCATGGATCATTGTTTCCATCTGGAAGGGACCAAGTTGGCAGCTGCGGAAAACAACTCTGATCATCAGGCTTGTGAGGAAGATACAATCCTCTTGATACAGCTGCTGTAGAACCTTGGGTTTCTTGTTCATCCAACCAAGTCGGACTTTCGGCCTGTACAGGACGACGTGTACATAGGGGGCAAGGTTCCAGTTAAGCTCGGGTATTCTCAGGCCCCTGGATAACCAGTACATGAAATTCCAGACAATGATTGTGGAAGCCATCAATCAGCCCTTTCAATCTCATTGGTGGTGGATGTCATGTCTGGGGTTACTAACATCTCTCCAAGATCTCACGTACAGAGGATGTATTCAACTCCACCCTCTGCAAACTTTCATGAACTGGACGAGATCCCTTGATCTCAATCCCCTGGAACGGTCGTCACCAGATCAGTTATTCGAGTTGAATTGGTGGATGGACAGGATGTCTTGACAGGCATTCCCTTGATATTTCCTCATCCAGACCACCACCTCTACACGGACACATCCGGACAGGGTTGGGGGGCTCACATAGTTGGAGCTGCAGTCTGTGAAATCCATTGTCCATGACGTCCTGAAAATACCAAATACCATTGTATAAATAGTGAAAATATCAAGGTATTGTGCATTTTCTTAACATTTTAATGTATTATTATCATCATTACTGTAATCCCTCTGGTGTTTTCTGGCTATGATGTCATAGAGGTTTGGGTATTCAAAGGAATTATCAAACATTAGTTATCATTGTGTATAATTCTAAGAGTACTACCTCCATTACATCACGAATTATTCCTCCCTCCATCCTTCCCAATCTACGAGTATCAGCATCAAGTGGACGTAGTGATTGGAAGGAATTGACGATACCCACCGTGTTCAAAGCTTTTTGCCCCAGGTACGGTTAACAGAACAACTGGTTGAGATGGCTGACAGTAAAGTGTATGTCTTTTGAAACCCTTGGGATTCTTGTAGTGGGATGATTCGCACAATTGCAGGAATAATGGCTTTGATGAAATATAGGTAGTGTTCTTAGAATTATACACAATGATAAATATTGTTTGACATCTCATTACACACTTTGTTTCATGGTAAACAAACAGCATATGTACTGTGAGGTCAATAATAGAATATGGAGGGATAGTGTGGGATCCCTATACCCACAAGGACATAGAGAGACTCGAAAGAGTACAGCAGCAAGCAGCCAGATTCATTGCTGGAGAGTGCACATCCTGGACTGAAGGTGGTGTTACCTCTATCCTGCAGGAGTTAGATCTTTCCAAATTACAAAATCGATGACAATGTCAGAGGTTATTCTTCTTATACAAAGTGGGGGAGGGATTGGTGCAAGCCATCCTACCACAGAACTATCTAACAGCGCAGCAAACTCAATGGTTTGTCAAGTTTCACATCAAGTAACCTGGTTGAGTGATGTACAGTAAATCACTCAAGAGGATATCAAGTACCACAGGGAACCACAAGCCAATGTGATCAGTAATTCTTTGTGAGAACTATTGTGGACTGGAACAGCCTACACCCGGATCTGGTGCATGCACGATCAGTGGACTGATTGACATAAAACAATAAAACAAGAAGTGGATTCTGTGCAGTATTTTAACACAAACACCTATCTAAATACTGATGCACCTATAAAAGTACCAATTCACCTGACCTGTGAAGATCCGGGGTAGAATAGATCTTCAGCAACATGCTTGCATTAAAAGGCGACTATGCTTGTCGTAAGAGGCAACAAACAGGATCGGATGGGTCAGGCTCGCTGACTTGGTTGATGCACGTCATCGTATCCCACTGCCTAGATTGATGCCCATGATGACGTTATATAGCTGTAATATTGCTGAGTGCGGCGTTAAAAAACATGAAACGAAACGAAATTGTTTCACCTTTCTAAGTACTGATGCACCTATCTAAGTACTGATGCACCTATTTAAGTACTGATGCACCTATCTAAGTACTGATGCAGATATTACCTGAGAACTAAAACGTTTGAGTTATGAAGCTATTCATAGACTAGTATTGGTGGAAATTTATATAAAAAATATAATGTGACAATTTGTTTTCCAGCTTGCATCGGCAGAGACCAAGTTTGACCCCTACACCAATGATATGTGGGCAATCCGACATGCCTCCCTCAGTGTGTTTCGACAGGCAGGACGCAAGGTAAGCTCACTAAAACATGTCAGTGTTCACTTCAGTCAAAACATCTATACAGAGATGCCAACCATTACACTTTTGGCGTAATTATAATGCTTTTTAGCCTAAAATTATGCAACTATGCTTGTCCTCCCCAAATTACTTCATTTAATGTTTATATTATGGAAGTCAGTGAAACTTGGTACACGTCAACCTTAGTGTGGGGATAAGATTGGAAAAATTAAACAAATTCAGCAGAAGCCGTAAAAGTTTCCGTGCTGTGTGACGCCATGACTGACGCTAAATCACACACAACGATGACGGTAGTTATCTGCATTTCTGACTAATTCTCTTTGTTACATTGGAAAACATGGTAAACAAATAACAGTATGCAGATTGTCAGAATGTTTCTGATTACTTACGTGACACATTTATGTGTATATGATTCCTCAATCATCGAAAACCTCCTTGAAATCCCGCGTACTGTTACCAGTGAACACGCCATTTTGTAAAAGTCGGTCACCGGTAGTGATGTCATACAGAAGTAAACATTGTTGTACATATTTGGTAAACTTGTAAACTTTCAACTTAGCACCCAGCGTGTTCTTGGTTTTTGTCTAGTTTGCATTTTCATCATCGCCTTGATAATCCACAGATATGACAGAAACCTTTTTGTATAGGGTCACATTATTTATAAGTAGTAAGCAGCATATAGGATGACGTTACTTATGACAGTGGGTTTATGTATAAATGCGCTACTGCAATCATGAGAATAGACAAAATTCCTCGGTTCAATGCTAAAAAGGTGCGATTTTAGGGTGTGTAAGGAACAGATTACTGCACTCGTGCCCGTCAGATACCATTAATCTTACAACTCGTTAGATACGTTTTGAACAACTCGTTGTAAGATCAATGGTATCTGACAGACACTCGTGTAGTAATCTCTATTTCCCATACCAGAAATGCTGCTCTCAGACAGGAACTGCAACCTTTAGGTTCCTCAACTCTCTCAGCCAGAAGAAAGGAATGGTGTTATGGTGTTGTAGTTGGCATGTATTTCCCCAAATTGTTCACATGTAATTGTATATCATGATTTTTGGAGCCTTCTAGAAATGGTGGTGATGGGTGCTAGTTTACAGTATTCTTGATTGTTCCAAGAACTTCCTTTATTTCAAAATCTGACTTAAGTCACTGATGCTTTTCATGATATTACATCTGGTGTAGCATTGAAATTGTTTCTGAAAAAATATCACATCTCTTTTTTGTAGGTGATAATTCGAGCCAGGGCAAGCCATAAACTTGCCTCCCTGAGAAAAGCAATGATAGACTGGAGCAAAAAGAAGTTTGCCATCAAGGGTTTAGGTAAATCATGAACATGTTTAAAATGTAATTCCCTGAAATGATGTATTTCTGTTTGTACATAATGTTTTTCATTTTTTACCTTTCAAAATGTTAGTGACATTCTTCCTTTCTTATTTCAGTGTTTCAAAACCCTTGCAAAATTTCTGCTAATTTTGAGTGCTAAAACAATTGTTGATTCTTTGAAAGGCAGCACTATCCTAAAGTTTGAAAACATACCCTTTTTGAAAATATTCTTGTACAAAATTGTTTGACAGTTGTTCAGATATATGATTTAACCCTTATTTATGAAAGAGACAGTTGGTCGACATTTGTTCAGACTTGTTTGGCAGTTGTTTGACAGCAAACTCATTCTTTTAAAAAGTTGATTCAAGACATTTTTCTTATAGGGAATCAATTGTTCGAAACTGTCTCACAACTGCAAACAGATCCTTGCCAAGGTCAAGGTTATTCAACAAATTATTGCTAAATTGTCTTGAAATGCGCATAAATGCAATGCAGTAGTAGTAGTAGTAGTGGTCTTCTACTACTACTACTTCTAATGCAGTGCAGTATTTGTTTTTCTTTCAATTGTAAATGCAGTAAACAGTTTTGTTTAATGTTATATTATTACAAGTTAGTCATGGCATTGGCTTTGCCTTATCATGGCGCTGTTCTGTTTGCAAACTAACTGTGTAAATAACACTTTTCAAATCAGATCACCTTATTTTTACGTTAACACCACAGATTTGACTTTGTTTTATTTTTATCCAAATCCAACCATTGTTCTGTCCCTGTTCTAACCTTTCTTTCTAAAGCTTTCCTTTCCAAAGGTAAGGATAGGTATAATATTGCTAAAAAAGTAATATTTTACCTTATCCTGACTTCTACTAATTTGCTTAACTCTTTCTTCTTACCAAAACGTAGTGGAAACTCTTGTGCATTGTTCCCAGTGAACAGAAAACTTCTCACCCTAACGCATCCCTCTGTTGGTACTCTATCTCCTCCTTGTTTTCAATATGAAAACGTGTACCAAGTGTCGTCTGCGTATCTCCAGTCATGATCCACACACCCTTTGTTCACCTTGTATGGAATGCAACTGTACTACAGACAATAAATGCGACTTTTGCTTCCCCTTGGCTGAAGAAGAATTCGCTGAATACATCTATGCCGTCGAGAGGAAGAGGACAGAGTCTTGACACTCCACTTAGGCTACAGAGACAACCTCTAAGAAGAAGAAGATGACGAAGAAATGGGATTTGACATCAAAGATGAAGTCAATATTAACCTTCACTCTCCACAGACCATCCCTGATGTTTCAGCCAAGAAACTTCATCCGTCGGCAGTAGAAGTGCCAACTATCTTCTGAAGGGTGTCTTGGCTGTCAAGTCGAAGAAGAAGTCTCCTGTGAAGTCTTCCAACCCTGGCAAGAATCTCCAGTTTCTGGCGATGAAGAAGTCCTCTTCTGTCCTCCTCGAAGACGTCGTCCTTCACAATGGCGCAGACCTTCACACGAAGCTCACACCTCAACAAAATTGAAATTATCATCCACGACAAAGGGTTCCACGAAGCCGTCCTCAATGAGCACCTGGAATGAAGACATCCGCGCACAGCCTTGCACCTCCTCACAGCTTCAAACGTTCGTTGAGCTCCCGACCTTTACGTATGCCCAGCCCTTCACGCATTCGTCACGACTCACCTGTTTCTGTAACGTACAACAATGCTCATCCCCCTCTCGAGGGCCGCCATGTTTAAATTTAAATTATTTTTGACAATTTGCATTTGTGTAAAAAATGTGGAAAAATGTATTTTTTTAACTTATCCTGCATTACTCTGTATTGCATTTACTGCTGTCTTTTGACAGAGAGACAAACTGTGTGAGATCCAGATGCTGAAGAAAAGTTGTTCCAACCGATAGAAGGCAGCACCCCTCGCACAGTCGGCACATGACCCGTAAGTCATGAAGTCACATCCATACACGTAACGGCTTTGTCACCACAACAGACGGACGTACTTTGTATCCCTTGTGGAAATTAAAGCTTATTGTTTCTATATTTTGTGTGTTTCTACATTCATATGCTGCTACATTGTTACCTGTTTATGGGCTGTTACCTTTAGGGTCTTACCGTTCGTAATTTGTAACGTTTATCGCTCGTTTGTGGCTCTAGTCACAGTAATTTACGGGCGCAATGTTGTTCCCGCCATTTTGTTTCTTTTTTGCCATTTTTGCCATTCACCATGTTGCCACATAATTTTATGTTCTGCGCTTTTAATTCTTTCTTTGTCTTTGGTAATACCTTAAATTTATGTATTTTGTTTTGGCATGCTTAAAGCTTTGCCTTTCTCGCTACCTTTGAGCGTAACTGTTCGCTCTCATAAACTTTGAGGCGGTTGGGTAGCCTAGTGGTTAAAGCGTTCGCTCATCACGCCGAAGACCCGGGTTCGATTCCCGACATGGGTACAATGTGTGAAGCCCATTTCTGGTGTCCCCCGCCTTGATATTGCTGGAATATTGCTAAAAGCGGCGTAAAACCATACTCACTCACTCTCATAAACTTCAATAAAATACAATATTTTTGAGTTACATTATGCTTCCTGTACTTTGTGGTTTTGCCACATGGTTATGTTTTATGCTTAGAGCTTTGTCTTTTCGCTACCTTTTAGCGTAACTGTTTGCTAACATTAACTGAAATACAATACAAGTTTTTGAGTTACATTATGCTTTCCGTACTTTGTGGTTTTGCCAAATGGTTATGTTTTTGCTTAAAGCTTTGCCTTTTCCCTACCTTTTAGCGTAATTGTTTGCTCTCATAAACTTAAATAAAATACAAAGATTTTTAGTTTCATTATGATTCCCGTACTTTGTGGTTTTGCCACAGGGTTATGTTTTTGCTTGAATTTCAGATTTTCTGCCTCACTGCACTTGCAGATGCAGCGGGAACAAATCTAGTCGTGGCCGCCCCTTCTGCTGTGATTGTATGACGCCCTGTACTTTCACAATGCAGTGCCAATGTTGCAGTCCTTCTTCGCTGTGCTCCTTCAACTCGAAACGAGTATCCAGGACACACCTCACTCAACGTGCTCATCAACCCCCTGATATGGCTTACAACTTGGAGACTGCGGTCTTTTGACACTACCATTGCCATCACTTTTATCGACAACATCGTCCCTTCCGGTGACACCCGTAATGGGACCGGTCTTCTGTCTTCTCTGCCATCTAGGTTGACAGCAGCGGCGCCGTCGGCGTTCGCGAAAAGCAACACAACCCGCGCCTCCCGGTGCCTGAGTATCTCAGCCAAGCTTACTGGCGCTCCCGGTGCTTCCCACGCTCCCAACGCTCCCAGCACTTCCCACGCTCCTGACGGTTCCGGCGCTTACTGACATCTCATAGATCGTCACACGGAGAGGCAAGGGGAAACCATGTCTTTCAATTGTTGTTGCTCCTGTCGCTGCTCACTCGTATATCGTCAGGATCGTGACTATTGTTCAACTTCCCTGGAGGAATCTTTTCAACCAGTAGACATTTGGTCTGATTCAACTTGCCCACTGGTTGTCTGGACAAGGTTTTGTTTTGCTACGTTCTCCTTAACCCCATCGTTTAAAACGCCATGCTTTAGGAGAGATGACCTCCATCAAGACAGAGCTTCTGGTGGACAGCGTCTGAATCAGAACAGGCAGATCTTCACTGTACAGGCTCATTAAGCCTGTTTGACCCCTTTGTCATAGGCTACTGGGTACCTACTTCTCGGGATCACCGTTGACTGGTCTCACATATCACAGTGTATCTTATCGCTCTACACCGGCCCTACCATCCGACGATGACATCCACTGTCTTCTTCGTAGACATCACCAGCACCCATGCTCCTCTACCCTGCCTCAGCGCCAGCGTTCATCAAAGAGGCTCTTCCTTGGCGCTCCCCGGGTTTTCCACAGTGCTCCCGGGACTTTTTTTTCACAAAACTCGGGTACAACACTTTTATGTCTACCACACAGTTCATTGAGGATTGTCTGTTTGTGGAGATTGCACTTCATTTCCGGTTCCAATGCGGCTTTCTCGGCTACTGCGCAGAGTGATTTACATGTCATGTTTCAAGTACTCCGAATGTAAACAACTCCGACCGGATTTGATCAATTGACCTATGGCGAACAGTGCAATGTATTTCTACAGATTAGTTTGCATGCTTACATGTATGCATGGTGCAACCACTCAACCAGACGCCTGTCGCAGTCCATCCATGGACAGATGATGGAAATGATAGACCTCCGCTGCCAACATGGCAGTCGCAAGGTACCAGGTTTCATCGCCCTCTTGCTATAAGAACGATAGCGCTTATATGGCGTTCAAGGGATGGAAAAGATCGCCTTCCTTTGTACAGTTTGATCTTTCAGACTACGACACCTTTATATCTTCAGCCTTGGCTACCAGATACAGATACCATTGGAACAGCAAAAGCCTCAAGATAAAAGCGCTTATCCTGGACGTCACTTGCTGGCAGAGAATTCTCGGTCATGCCCTGTTGATCATGTCCATGGATAACATCACCATGGTGTGGTGTTCAAGGAACCAGGGTACTCTCCACTCTCCATCCCTCCTAAACCAGACCTTCTGCTTCCTCGACTTGGTGGTCAGCCTGGACCTGTACTCTCTCGTCTTGTACTCACAAGGTTGAGAGCATGTTCTGGCACTGGCTCACAGAGTCACGGCAGTTCCTGGCTGAGTTCCTTCTGTACTTGCACAGCACCCGTCAGTTGAAAGGCTCTACCATCTCCACATACCTAGTCGCCATCAACTCTGTTCTTGCCATCCCAGACGATCGGAGAATGACGAATATTCCTGAACTACAGGCCTTGCTGTGCTCGTTCCGTCTTGAAGACCAGAAAGCAAAGTTCAGACCACCTGCATGGCATCTAAATGTGGTCTTAAACGCTTTTCGGGCGGGTCACTTCGAACCACTCCACTCGTCTTCTTTCTACAACCTAAGAAAGAAGATGGTGTTTCTACTGGTTTTGGCTACTGACGCTCGGGTCAGTGAGCTCCACGCCCTCGACGTCACCCGTGTCCGGTTTGAACGCGGTGCTCAGGGCGCCGTTCATCATGGGCAGTGCTGGGACTTCATCTTCAAGAATCAACTCCCAGGACAGCCTGATAGATAATTCATTATCCCCTCCCCCCTCCCCCATCCCCAAAGGCTATCAACCCACACGAGATTGGGGCGATCACATTTACCATGGCTCTTCACAGTCTAACTGTTCCATCCAGTCGCTCATGGAAAGCTGTTCTTGGCGATCTGACACCGCTTTCACCAGCCACTACCTCCGTGATGTAGCCTTGGAAGATGTCGCCAGCGTTCACAGTTTTGGTCCCTGGTTGTAGCCCAACAGGTCACCAATCACCGACGCCACTAATTCTCCGATTCCTGAGCAAGGCCCGTCGACCTCTCTGGCGTTTATCACCCCAGACAAGAGGGCTCTGCTGCATTCCGCATTCGCTCTTAGGTCAGTTCTAGTTTTTAGCTACCCACCTCATTCTATTTCTGTCACCTATACGGGTTTTACTTTTACCATCGACTCTTGTTTCCTGACGACAGGAATGGTAGTAGATGTTGACACCGACGCCAACGCCAACGCCAACGCCGCTGATTCTCCAATACCCGTTAGGCGCTTGTTACGCCATATGGTTCCCTTGACACGTGTGTCGCTTGAAGTGTTTATATCGAGGTGTTTATTTGACATGCCCGTAAGTGGGATTTTCAGGCTTTTTAGCTTTGTAAGCTATGTAACGCAGTTTGTTTAGACTTAAGCTTATGCAAATTTCTTTTTTACTGTTGTTTTGCCTAGACTTATCCTCAAATTGAAAAATATAACCATTCAGCGATTAATATGCCATAAGGTTCCCTTGACACACAAATAATGAATTCTTCCTGTCCGGAGCCAGTCTTACACTATTCGCCTTCGGGGGATTTTCACGCTTTTCAGCTTTGGCTTGGTAACACAGTTTGTAAAGATTTTAGCTTACGCTAATATTATTTTTTATTGTTTGTTTACATGGACTTATACTCAATTCTCATGTTCTTTCTGTAAATAAGATTAAACCAGCCCAACCATCCGGCTCTTTGTTTTTGCCATTTGGTTTCCTTGACAACTTATCATTTGAGGTTTAACATCTGAAGGCATCCCCACCACCATACCACCTGATACAGATGCATTAAGGAGTAATGAAGGATAAGTAAAAGATTTAGTAAAATCTAAATTGTTTTTACTTTTGTATACTTATCCTGCATTTCTGCGTCTAAGGGACCACCTGTCTCCCCACTATAGCTTCAGAAAAATCTTTTGTTAGCTCGGGTGATGAGCAGGAATGTCACGGACGATGGGTCCTACAAAAAGTAGACTGAAGATGGAAAAAACCTTTAATCTTCACCTAGGACCATCGTGAAGCACTGTCTTTCTTTGTTGTGAGGTGCATGAAGAAGTTATGCAGGAAAAGAATACAAATGTTAAAAATATTTAGATTTTCTAAAATTTTAGGCCAAAACAGTTTAACAAACTGTTAACAAGAATCTTTGTATAAGAGACTTTTTGAGCATGACTGTACCCTTAGATGTAAATGTGTAAATTGTAGTGGGTGAGCAGCAGGAGAAACTGGATGAGGAAGAGGACAGAGAAGATGTTGCTCAGCACTATGACTTCAGCAGCCAGGATGTCAAGAAGTACTCATTCCCAACATACATACCTCCCAACATTAAGGATGATATGGTAAGTCTCACTATATGATTCTGCTAATACATTTACTTGCTACCATCACAATAATTCAGTCATGTTTTATCCATGTATTATGTGTTTCATCTCGTGGGCCAATACATTTTGAGTACATTTTGTCCAATCAAATGCTGTATAGTGTTTGGCTTCTTTGGACTCAATTTGCTAGTTGGAAGAATTAAAGCAAAATAAATATTTAAAAAAAGCCCAGATCAATAAAAGGAAATGGAGTTGTGGATTTATGGGGCCAAATTGGTTGGATGGAGGAGGAAAATGATCAACATTTCCTGACTTTGTGGGGTAACTGTTCAGAAGGCAACTTTAAGTAATGCAGATTATATCATTTTTAAACCATGTATTAGATATAATAACAAAGCCTTTTTTTCTGAAACATTTATATATCTTAAACACAAAATAAAATGACAGAACAAGAGTTTGTTCCTTTTAAACACTGCCTTGTTTGGGAACTTTTTCGTACAGTCACAAATAACAGTCATTCCTCATGAAACTGGAAAGCTAAAATGTGAAACAATACAAAAGTCTTTATAATGAGGAACACAATATTTCGGATTATATGCTTACTCCTTCATTAGGTGAGTAAAGTATATGAGGCAGAGGGCATATATATGTACACGTAAGAACAACAAAAGTAATAAGATAACAAACAGTGAAAAGTAGTATAGGTACTGGAGCCAGATTTATATACCTATACCACCACTACAGATGAAATTTTTTATGTCAAAACCTGATGCCCATCAACGATCGTCATGAGTGGTATTAAAAGAATCATTAATATTAATTAAAAATGGATAAAGTTCACTATAGCCCTTGAGGATATTGGAAAGGTATAGGAGCAATACAAAAATTAGCCACTGCTGCTAAGGTATATAAAGATGTGTCCATGGATTGGTTAAAGAAACAAGCTATGTGGCAAATACACTTACCGGCACCGCATTATATACCGAGTAGGGCTGGGACGAGTCCAAATTTACTATGGTACCCAACCCCCTATTACCCGACCCTACCCGGGTACCCACTGTAGGTCTCAAGAGTTGTGAACACAATGTCTAATTGGGAATAGTTTAACTGTAGCCCTGGCAAAAACTGTTTAGATACATGTATGAAACCAGAGACCATATAATGGATTTATGGTCTCTCATGAAACGACCAAATCATGCGTTCACTGAAGTTGACTGAAGCTTTATCTTTACTCAAACATATACAAGTCTAAAGGAATGTGTGCATCATCATAAAGAAATGGGAACATTAGCGACTTGTAGTGTACCCACTGAGCTCTAGTGAGTTTTTAAACAATATGTCACGTGATCAACCACGAGTCCGGGTAGTACTGTGGGTACCCGGGTCCTACCTCGGACCAACCCGACCCGAGTACCCGAGTTACCCGTCCCAGCCCCAATACCGAGGAAGAAGTTTTATATTTTTACAACGAATGAAGTTCATCAGGCTGACCTCTTGTTTCTTTCCCATGATAAGGTAAGACGCAAAACGTATAAATATGTTTAACCATAGTGGATGTGGCTAGTCGATACAAAGAGGCTGAGCCATTAACCTTGAAAGATTCAACAGAAGTAGGTAATGCACTGGGCCGCATGTATAAACGCGGACCACTAAAATGGCCTAAGCTATTTCAAGTAGATCCCTGTCGCGAGTTTATGGGATCAGAAACTAAACTATTAACAAAGCACGATGTCGAAATCAGGCGTGGGGAAAAAGAGGCCCACTGTAGTCAAGCTATCGTTGAAAGATTTAACCGGACATTAGCGGAACGTTAGTTTGGCTATCAGTATGGGATCAAAATGAAATCGCAACGATTAAGATCAACCGAATGGGTGACACGATTATCAGCTGTTGTATCAGTGCTGAATAATGAAGTAACGAGATTAATCGGGAAGAAACTTTCCGATGCGATTAAAATGAAATCCATGACTTCCAAATCTTCAGCACCGAGGAGAGGCAAAGAACGAAAACTTCCGGATAGAGTAAGGGTAAGATATTTATACCAGTCCGGTGAACTCGAAGGAGGCCTACGTCGCAACCGATCCAATTTGGTCCCTTAAGGTATACAGTGTGCCCTCATTATTGCGCCCTTCAATATAGCGCTAACTCGGGTATAGCGGTAAAGCATGGCTCCCAAAATTTACTAACATTTTTAATAAACTCAAGTTTTCCAATGACACAATGTATTCCCCCATCTCAGAAACATTATCAGTTGATCACCGCGATCACGTAACACCGGAAATACCAGTCAACAAATCCGAACAGAAGTACGCAACTAATCCTATTATTATAATATCTGGTAATATAAAAAAATATTCATTGTTCATCTGGACTAATGTTTGCAATATATATTTTTTTAATTATATTCAAAATTTCATTCAATAATGTTTTCAATAATTTCAGCAAAATCGTATGCGAAGTGATCGGTAGATCGCACAACTCACCATTATTAACAGCAACCACGGTCAGATTACCGCTATTGACGCCCTGAAACGAACTTTAGTTGCAAGAGAATGGATACACACATCATGTATGCCGTACCATGACCCGTTAAAAGTCATAAGACCCATTACAAGATAATGTTTACAAGCGGAAAGAAGTTGTATTCACAGGTAATCTAGGAGATTTAAGTGATGTCGACGTTAGTAGACTCAGTAAAAACACTTCATACAATCATACTCGCAATGATGATAAGAAATGGACTGTGATCGAAGAAAAAATCGAGTGGCTACTAAAGATCGTCATTACAGCACCATATACGATGATGGGTAAGGGACATCAATTAACTAAGATAATGATCAGTAGGATCGTACTCGGGGCTTATATCCCCTCAAAACGAAAAAGTGTGTTAGTCTCTCCCTTACCAGAAAACCCAGGTCATATGTTATTGAGCAGTAAAAAATGTTAGTTTAAATTTGGTTACTGAAATGATTTAAAACAGAACTTGAGTGCTATAAAAAAAATCCTTCTACACTTATTATTGAAGTCTTGTTTGGGGATGCACCGGTAGATGCCTTCGAGATATTACCAGGTCTATCAATTAAATGGCTCAAGAAACACGAGCGTCGACATTGTAGTATTATTTATATGGGAGTATCACCCGTTGCAACCCTTGAGGGGGTCCAAGTTAATAAAAGTGACAGCATTTCTCTTACTAAGATATTTATGCCGCATAATATACATTTAATAAGGTTGATGAATATTCTCAAAACTTTGAAACAAGACCAATTAAAGACTATTATATGATATAATAATATATATTATGGGTTTATGTCCAGCGCTCAATGAAGCATCTGAAAAGATGGATACTGTGGATGGATTTCGATTACATCAAATAAGCGACATAAAACATCGAATTTCTCAGAGAAGGGTAGGGAGCTTAGACTTGAATTGTATAAAAAGTATCGCCGAGCTGTGAATGTTCTCGAAGGAGTTGACACTGCGCTTGTAACAGCTGGCATGGGACTCTGTGTAGCTGGTGTTGGTTTATTATCAACTATAATCGCCGCGCCCATCGTACTTGGTATGGAAGTAGCGGCCGGATTCTCAGGACTGGCGGGAATAGCGATAAAATCTATTTCTCGTTAGTTGCAAAAGAAAGCATTAAAACATGATAATATTCGGACACTTGCCGAAGCAAAGTTGAACAGCATTGAGGATCATATTTCAACAGCACTGGCTGATTGTAAGATATCCGAGGATGAGTTTTGTTTAGTGTTGTCAGAACTCACAATGAAGCAGGAGATTCGATCTAATTCTTGTCAGACCAGTGGTATTAGCGAAGATGAGAAAAAAAAGTTCATAGAACAAGGGAGACAACAAGCGCGTCAATTATTCCGTGTCAAAACCAAAGAACTGGTTGGAGATTAAAAATGGGATTGTTTGATCACATTTAAACGAATGCTTACATAAGTATATAATAATGGAGACAATCAAATGGCGAGAATTACCACAGGGTATATGTTATATCAGTGATGTCAAACCAACCAAATACGGTCATTAATTGTTTCTTTCCAATTTCCAAAGAGTATATAGTCTGGTCTCATAGTAAAATGATCAAAGATCTTTGTAAAAATTTTGAATATCACTTTGTTCAAAATAATGGTATGAATATTAGTAAAAATAATAGATGATATTTTCATTACAATTTAGTTTAATCTCATGACAATCGTTGAATCACATCATCATTTCAACATAAAAAATTCCCCTGTAGTGGTGGCATAGGTATATGAATCTGGCTCCAGTGGAAGTGGTAAGTATATTTGCCTCATCGTTTGTTTCTTTAGCCAATCCATGGCCACATGTTTAGATACCTTAGCTGCGGTGGCTAATTTTTGTATTGCTCCTATACCTTTCCAATATCCTCGTGGGCTATAGTAAATTTTATTCATTATTATTTAATATTGATGATTCTTTTTATATGAGTCATGACGATCGTTGAATCGCATCATCATTTTGACATTAAAATATTTCCTCTGTAGTGGTGGTATGGGTATATAAATCTGGCTCCAGTGGTAGTGATCCACAACCCTCATCATCTACACTACTAAAAGTGTTCAGCAAACTTTCTATGAGACAATTTCCTTCAAAGACATGGTCATGTGTTCATGATCCAGAAGTTATGTCAATAAAAGGGAAAAGCAGATGGTGTGTTTCACCTGATGTTTGAAGTGCTGAATGCAAGGATTAATAAAAATAGTTTACCCATACACACTGTCTATATATTTTTACGGTATTCATTTTGGCTTTATTATATACATAAAATTCATGTTCAATATTTTTTGTTTTTATCTTTTGACTCCAGGCACCTGATGCATTAGGTGTGGTACCATTCAAGCCAACCGAAGTCTTTGTCAAGAGGAAAGTTCCTTACTTCAATCTCAAGGTATTTTTTTCACATTCTGTGTTCAAAACAGCTGCCTCACGCCTGCCACGTGCCGGTGACTTATAAATTGGGCTAGTAACATTTCTGTAAAGTAGGCCCGACTGTATAGTTGAAAATTCTAGTCAATGCTTATTTATTACTTAAACTCAAGTCAGTTTAAGTGTCATTCAATATCAAAATGGGTTGTCATTTTGCTTTCATTTCATAGTTTATCGGAAACTGGGTTTTTGATGTACACTGCTTAAGACTGATTTGCTTGTACATGCGTTATTACTATTAGCTATGCATGTGAAAATCTGAGAACCACCACAAATGTCACGTACAAGTATGGTATTAGGCCACTTATCAGCCTCGCCTTTTTTCAGCATAATAATCTCAAGACTATTTCACTTCATATTGCAAATGGATGCCACCAGAAAGCAGGCCCAGTAAAATATGATGAGGGCTTGAAACAGTTTTTGTTGACAAGCACTCATGGCCAGTGAAGTTTGGGAACTGATTTATACACTGTTCATTTCTGTCGTTCTGTTCACGTCGTGATCAATGAGGTATTTGTGGATCAGCCTGAAAAAAAGCATAAGAACTTTATGTATCCCCTGCCACGAAGTGGAAGGGGAAATAGGAATGGGTGCCGTCCGTCCTTCCGTCCATCCGTCACATTATGTTTCCTGAGCAGAACACAAAAACCATGAGAGATATCTTAACCAAACCTGGCACATATACTCAACAACAAAAGTTCCTGTGACACCAATATTTTAGTGTATTTTTGAAACAAGTAAAGTTTGGTTTTCAATATTGTAGTACATGTATGGAATCAAGTCACAAAAACACAATTGTTACAGAAAAGCATGCATTCCATGCAAAAGTTGACTTTTATGCAAGCCCCATGCATTTCACTACCCAAGAATGGGTAAAAAAACATGTGTGTTAACGGGATTCCATATGCATTGTTTAGCATCGTGCTGACAACAACCACTCAGAAAAACAACAAAATTATCGAATTATTCAACATTACGAAATGCTATGCCTGTCCGAAAATGAGCGTCTGCGAGCCATTGGTATGTTTGAAGCAGGATCGAGTCAACGTGATGACAATTTAACGTCCACAGAAACACCATTTGGTGTTTATGGTAACGTTGGCAACAGACAAATGCAGTCAGAGACCATCCTCGGAGTGGCAGGCCACGTGTAACCAATAATTGACAAGACAACTGGATTCGAACAACACACCTACGAAATCGATTCCAGCCAGCAACAGTGACGGCAAGAAACGTCCCTGGCCTTCGACGAATATCTTCACAAACCGTACGTCACCACCTCAGATGTGCAGGTATTGTCGCCAGAAGAACCGCCAGACGTCCCATTTTGACAGGAAACCACCGTCAAGCATGTCTACAGTGGTGCAGACAGTGGGGACAAGTTCTATTCACTGACGAGTCTCGTTTCCACCTCAGCCACAGCGATGGACGGATTCGAGTGTACCGACGTCGAGGTGAACGTTACATCAACCATTGTGTCATGGAAGAAGATCAGTTTGGGGGCGGCAGCGTTATGGTATGGTTTGGGATTACAGCAAGACAGAGGACCCGTTTGATAGTGGAAGAGGGAAATCTCAATGGACAGCGCTACCGCGACGAGATCATCGGCCCTGTTGTTCTTACCGTTTTTGCTTCGTCATGGCCCAGGCGTTACCTTTCAACACGACAACGCCCGGCCTCATATTACTCGACTTGTTCAGGATTCTCTTCAACAAAACAACGTGAATGTCATCCCCTGGCCGGCTCGCTCCCCTGATCTCTTGCCAATTAAGCAAATGTGGGATGAGATGGATCGGCACCTTCGACGTCAACCACGTGTTCCACAGACACTCCAGGAGCTTCGAAACATGCTCCAGCAGATATGGACAAATATCCTACAGGACTTTGTGCAACGCCTGGTCCATTCCATGAGACGAAGATGTGTTGCTTGCATCGCAACCAGAGGTGGACACCCACGCTTTTGATTTGTAAATTGATATTTTGGCATGTTTATGTTTTTTATGAAATCACACTTTTTCTGAAGTCAGTATGGCAAATTAAACCATTTGAACACTTCCAGGAGTCTTTTATCTGTTGCAACTGAAATTGTTTCTGATTTGGTTAAAAACATAACTTTGCATTAAAACTTATTCAATGTCACAGGAACTTTTGTTGTTCAGTATAGATAGGTCTAGTGGTGAACTGGTGCTCGTTTCCGGAGCAGATCTTGAAAACCGTACAATATTTCTTCACCAAATTGGCACATAAATAGGTCTAGTGGAAAACTGGTGCCTTTTCATACTTTGGGATTTTACCCAAAATATTTACCGAGTTTCCCTGGCAACGACTTTGCCTTAGACTGAAAATGTTGGTAGTGCTCGTTTCTGGAGCAGATCTTGAAAATCGTACAATATTTCTTCACCAAACTTTTCACATAAATTGTAGTAAACAAAAAAGCATTGGATGAGATGACTAGATTGCGGAATGAAAGACTGTTCACCTGGACACTCCCTGTAGAGGACATTCATGGTGATGGACTCAAAGTGGCTCACTTGAATGTTCAATTCCTCAATGCTCATTTTGAGGATGTGGAGAAGGATAAGTTTGTTGGAGTACCTGGTTCATGTTTTGTTTCACAGAAACACGCATCAAAGATTACAGTGAAAGAGACCTGCAAGGATATCAAGTCGTTCCAGGAGACACTACACATAGTATTGCTGTATATGTTTCAACAAGTTTCAAGAACAGTGTCCAGCTATGTGATGTAATGTCATCTCGCAATATTGAATACATTTACTTTCATGTTGGCAAGTGACCTACAGCATGGACGTGTACCAGCGAAGCTCTTGTTTTGGATTAATTTAGACCTTCGGTTGTGGCAACAACATACAAAACTGTAAAAAATGGTATATATGGGAGTATATGGTCTGTAATGATTATTACAGTTTGTTGTTTCCACAATTTTTATCCCACACCACGAAGTGGGGCAAGGGATATAGGAATTCTATGCATTTCATCCTTCTCCTTCAGATCATTGTGTGGAATCATCCTAAATCGTTTCCAGCTTTTTAGCTCATTTTGTCCAAACATCCCTTGCATCACCATAGCGACCACCCTAAAAATCAGGTCATGCACCCGAATCCTGTGCAGCCTGACTTTCATGATCTGATCACCTGACACCCTCTGCCTCATCATTCTCTTTCTGTTAGCCTCCATGTGGAGACATGCTATATTTTAGACAGAATATTTTGGCCTTTATTTTCTCAAAATTTGACGGAAGCTCAGCGTACTACTTTCAACATTATGGGCGAGGATCAGCAGAAACATCAGGTCTGCAAGAAGTGTTGCCATATATTTTCACCGTCAGATCCGCACAAATTATGTTGTGACTATCAGGGGGGTTTGCAAACCTAGTTTCCGTTGTGCAAAATGTCCTCATCTTTCAGATGACCTTCCTCGTCTAACACTGGACAAAATATCATCCATTCCAAACAATCCAAAACTTGGAAATACCACCATTCCAAATGGAAATATGACCATTCCAAAATTTGTCAAGGTCATATTTCCAAGCTTGGATTTGTTAGGGTGTTTGGATATGTTTGGATACAACATGTCATAATCATATCTGTTAAACGTTGTACAACTTTTGACCTTATGTGAGATTAGTAATGACATGAAAGTAAATAATTAAGAGTATTTTGGCACTATTTACCACGAAAAGACCAAATCATGTGCAAATTTAACTAAAAGAATTTCTGTCGTTTCGAGAATAGAGGGCCTCATTATTATAATTTGAACTAATATACATATGTACATAAAAGTACTAGGTATAAATGAATTTTGATAAGTGTTCGTACAAGAATATGAACTTCAAATTATCTCGGAATTATGCGCAACACATAGGGCTGGAAATTTTATAATTGGTCTTGAACTATCTGACGGTAATTCAAAACAGATTTCGTCAAATGAATCATTGAGCCAGGAATGCAACGATTTAAATGCTGACAAAATGAATAAACATATCTGGAACAGAGTAGACTGTTCATGCGGGCAATTATATGCTACGTCTATTGCCAATGAAGTTTATCACCCCATGTTATAGCATTTGTTTCATATAAAAGATAGAAGCCAAATAAATGGGACAATTAGTTGATATGAATTAGCTTTACCTCTGTGAGATATTACGCAACTAAAGGTGAATATGTTTATCAAATAATCAATAACAGTCATTAACCTAGTGTCCTTATTTATACACAATTTAATTAAGTACGTGTCTACCGTAAACCAACCCATACGGATCAGTATCTGCACAATTCCTCTAACCATCCACCACAAATCAAAAGAGGAATTATCGCCACCTTAGCCCAACGTGCTGTCAACATCTGTTCCATGCCACAACAGCTACAAACTGAACTCAACCACCTCCGCCATGTATTCACTAACTTCGACAATTATCCTACCAGCCTAGTTGAACAAACAATCAACAGCATCCTCAGCCCTAGAGAGCGGCCTCCACAACAACAGACAGCCCCGTTTGTCATCAGTCTTCCCTACATAGGAACAGCCAGCCACCAGATCCGCAGACTGCTCAAACACCACGCCAACATTGATACAGTATTCCAGAGAGGCAGGACAATCCAGAACATCCTCAGTGCCAATGGCAAGCCCCCTAAATCAAAGAAAGAAGACCCAGCTGGTGCCGTATATCACATACAATGTGACTGTGGCGACTCCTATGTAGGAGAAACATCCAGGCCCCTACCCATTAGAATAAAAGAACACAAGACCTCAGTACAAAAAAAAATGACTCAAAATCAGCCATCTCCGACCACACCCAAACCCAAACCCACCCCGACCACAACATCCAGGATCTACACTGAAACGTTGCACTAATTGTAATAAAGAAGTTGTTCATCCATAGAACTCGTCTTACTTCATCACACCAACTTCTAAATGCCACTGAAAGAAGTCAAATCATACAAA